CCTGTGCCCCCAGACCCTTTAGCCCCGCTACCAAATCCCTGTAGCACCTCATGACCTGGCTGGGAGCACTCTGAGCCATATCATTGGTGCCAACATGAATAAGGCACATAGGGTAGTGGTCTGTGGGCTGGAGGAGCTTTGGGATCTTCTCCACAATGTACTGGATGCGGGCTCCCGGGAAGCGGCAGTCTTCCTGGAATAAGGGGTTGGAGCGGCAGATTGCCCCCTCAGATCCCCTCAGGATGGATTCTCCCACAACAAACACCTTCTGTTTTGGCTTGGGTAGTGCGGGGGTGGTAGCTGCAGTTGAGCCTGTGTTGCCTGCGGGAGGCAGCAACTCAACAGGCTCTGCTGGAGCAGCAAGAGGAGTGTACCTGTTGCTAAGCTCCGGCGGGGCAGGGGCCTTGGTGCGGCAGGCCTTAGGGCCCTTGACCACCTTGGTCCATGCCCCTGACTGGACAGAGTGGGAGGTCCCGGAGTCCTCCTTTGCCCTGGAGGGAGACGGTGGTCTGCCCTCCGGGTCCCGGGGGAGAAGGGCCTGGCAGTAGGAGTCAATCTCCTGCTCACAGTCCCTGATGGCATGCAGTTTCTGGACTGTGGCCTGGAGCTCCTCCAGCTGGCGCACCAGAGACCCAAAAGGGAGCAGACCCTACATGGGGAGGTGGCCATGCTCCCGGTTGTCAGAGCATGAAAAAGGGACAGGCAGCCCACGCAGCCAAGAGCCAGGGGCTCCATCTGTGTAGAGCCTGGAACCATGGGCTCCATCTGGGTGGTGGTCTCTGAGGTGCTGGGGGGGGGCGCTGCAGATCCTGAGGGGACCCTTAGGGTGCGGCGCATGCCCATCTGTGCCATGCCTCTGGTAGGTTGGCTACGGGTGGGACTGTCCACCCTGGGGGGTTTGCAGGCAGGGTTTCGGGCCCTCCTGTGCACCCTCCTGTGAGAACTCTGTGCTAACTCATGTGCTGGCAGGCAAGTGCACCTGTTTGTGCAGCCTGTTCATGCAGCTCCAGTCGTGTGGCTCCCTGCAGGGCTGGACGAAGTAGGGGCCTGGGCGGGACTTGACCCACCCTAGCTCCACTCAGCTGCCTCCTCCCACTCAGTGAGGGGTTAGCCCCTCCCACCAGAGGCCCTGCTTGCCTCCAGCTGTACTGGGGGTTGGCGGGGGGCTCCACAGCTGCTGGGGGGTCTCTGGGGGGGCTTCAGGGTAGTGGGGGCACGGAAGC